TTTTTTCAAACATAAGATATATTAAAAATGGACCATACCCTTTGTTTTATTTATCTCTTCCAGCAAGTAGTCAGACTCCTCCTGTATCCTCTCTTCAATGCTCCTCTTCCCCATTCCAAAGTTCCGCAGAGTGGTGAGAGCAAACCGACGGACTTGTAACCATGGCTCGTTGTTGCTGAAAACAATCCCTGCAGAGGAAGAAGGAAGAGGGAAGACCTGGCTTGGGCATGCTGGGTGTGGGATGAACGGTGGCTCACAGTGACAGAGAATCCTGTCCCTGGAGAGCACTGACATGGTAGTGTCACAGAGTCCTGTGTTTTGCAGGCAATCTCTGGAGGTTCTGTAGTCCAACTGTCTGCTTCTGTCCTTCTCCACTACATACCCAACCTCCTTGTGAATAATTGATCACTCATATCCACTCACAGCTTCCCTTGCTGCAGCTGGTGGCTGTTGCCCCTTGCCCCTTCCCAGCCCATCTCTGAGAACAACTGGCTCCACTTCTCTGATACCTCTCCCCCTTTGGGTGGTGGAAGCCAGGAACTACAGCCCACTTTGCCTTCCCTTCTCCAGGTGGGACGCACAAACACCCTGCAGTCTCCCTCGTGCATGGTACATTCCAGCTCTAATCTGCTGAACACACCCTCACAGCCCTTCCCTTCTCAGAAGGAGGTCAGTCAGCAAACATACCTAATCCATTGTTGGCCCTGTCTCCTATTGGCATGTGTCCTCTGGCAGCAAACTCATCCGCACGATCAACCAAAGCTTCTTTCACCGCATCATGTCCGTGCAGCACCACCACTGGATCAGAGCCCAGGTGCACTGTGAACACTGGTCCATACTCTTCACTGAGCTGTAAAAATGCAAGAGAGAACACAACCATGTAGCAAAAAGGAAGGAAGAGCTGAAAAGTCTCCTTGCTGCTGCATCCCACTGCAGGCAGTGAGCCTCACACACCAGCAACATCGTGATTTGGTCCTCTCATGATAAATGTGGCTACGGAGAAGAGTCCCAGCTATCCAGCCCTGAACAACAAGGGCAACAGCAACAAGGGGGAGCAGCTGCAATCCCCATGACTCTGCTGCTCCTCTGGGATTTCAGTTCATTAAGCTATAGCCAGAGGTTGTCCCCATGTGCAGGTGCCGCACGTTTCTCATCCACAGAAGAAAGAGAGGAAAAGAAAGTGGCCTTACCTTCTCAAGGGTTTTGGCCAAGTTATTTGGTTTCACATGCAGCAAGTTACCTAGAATGGGAAGGGGAGTTGGTCCTGGAGGCATCTTCCCCTTTCCAGACTTCCCTTTCCATGCTGCAAAGGAGAGCAGGCAAGCAATGCAAATCAGAAGGACAACAGTGGCTGCTCCCAGGAGCTCCATTTGTCTCTGCAGTTCAGGAGAGGGTGAGTCTGGCTGCCGGAGTCCAAGTTATATACTGAGGGCTGTGTTAGCTCAAGAGCAGGTTTTAGGTCACATGGCTTAGTCAGTGTTACTGATCAATCATTTGTTATATTGCCCTGTGTTATGAAACTAAGACTTTTATTGCTATTAATTGGTCATTGAAGACTCGCCTTATCTCAAACAACTGCAGAGGCCAACAGAGGCCAATAAATTTAATCTTGTTTTGTTTACCCTTCAGTTAATTGTTAAAGAGATCACACCAAGGGTGCATTCTTGTACTGA